ATGCCAGGTTTCAGCACTGCTCTTTATGGGGTTACGGGAGAAAAGTTACCTAATCTAGCCTATAGAAGAGAACACTTCTTAGAAGAGATGATAATTGATGAGTGTCTTAAAGTTTGAACAAAATTTAGTCTGGCAAACAGAAAAGGAAAGGCAGTACAGACAAATAAATTATAAGAACTCATTCCACTGAGGTGAGAAATAAGCAGGAATCTGCTAAAAACTCCAAGCCTTTGGTTTTGTTAAGAATTGACCCCACATTAGTCAGTGGCAGTGACAGGGTTTTTAGACAGGGTCATGGTTAGATATCCATTAAACAGAGTTCTTGGTGGCACTTTGTCAGGTGGATTTGTCAGGACCGGAGGTAAGGAGAGTAGTTAAACATGGGGGCTCTTAACCGGGAGGCCTGGGGCCCCTAAAGGGCTTATGGATATAATTTAGGAGGTCCTTGAACTTGAATGAGGAATCATTACATTATTATTCACATTAATCTCTTATTAAATATAGGATTTTCATCAATTATGAAGATAAGTGCACCAGCTACACTGTGATGCATAGAAACTATAGATGTATTCATACTGCATTCCAGTTCTTACAGGTATCATAAAACTTTTCCTTCCTTCCTTCCTTCCTTCCTTCCTTCCTTCCTTCCTTCTTTCTTTCCTTCCTTCTTTCTTTCCTTCCTTCTTTCTTTCCTTCCTTCTTTCCTTCCTTCTTTCTTTTCCTTCCTTCCTTCCTTCCTTCCTTCCTTCCTTCCTTCCTTCCTTCCTTCCTTCTTTCTCTCTCTCTCTTTCTTTCTCTCTTTCTTTCTTTCTTTCTTTCTTTCTTTCTTTCTTTCTTTCTTTCTTTCTTTCTTTCTTTCTTTCTTTCTTTCTTTCCTTCCTTCCTTCCTTCCTTCCTTTCCTTCCTTCCTTCCTTCCTTTCCTTCCTTCCTTCCTTCCTTCCTTCCTTCCTTCCTTCCTTCCTTCCTTCCTTCCTTCCTTCCTTCCTTCCTTCTTTCTTTCTTCCTTCCTTCCTTCCTTCCTTCCTTCCTCTTCCTTCCTTCCTTCCTCTTCCTTCCTTCCTTCCTTCCTTCCTTCCTTCCTTCCTTCCTTCCTTCCTTTCTTTCTTTTTCTTTCTTTCTTTCTTTCTTTCTTTCTTTCTTTCTTTCTTTCTTTCTTTCTTTCTTCTTGCAGTAAAAACACACAACATAACATCTACTGTCAAAATCTTTTTTAAAAAAGATTTATTTACCTATTTATTTGAGAGAGAGAGTGGGGAGAGGGGCAGAGGGAGAAAATCTTCAAGCAGATTCAACTTGGGGTTCAACCCCGGGACCCATGAGATCATGAACTGAGCCAAAAACCAAGAGTGGGATGCTTAACTGACTGAGCCACTCAGGTGTCCCTGTCATAACTATTTTTAAGCATAAAGCTTAGTAGTGTTAAGAATGTTTACATTGTTGTGGAATAGATCTACAAAACTTTTTCATCTTGCAAAACTGAAACTCTTATACTCATTATACAGAAATTCCTCATTTCCCAATTCTCTCAGGCTTTGGTAACCACAATTCTTCTTTTGGTTTCTATGAATTTGACTACTCTAGATACCTCATATAAGTAGTCATACAGTCTTTTTGTGACTGGCTTAATTTACTTAGCAAATGATGTTGTAACATCATAATTTCCTTCCTTTTTTTAAGGCTGAATGATGTACCATTGTATATATACTATATTTTGTTCATGCATTCCTTCATCAGTGAACATTTGGGATGCTTCCCCTTCTTTGCTATTATAAATAATGCTACTATAAATATAGGTGTGCAAATAATGCTTTGAGACTCTGCTTTCAATTCTTTTGGACATATACCATGAAGTGGAGTTGGTGGATAATATGGTAGTTCTATTTTTAATTTTTGAGGAACCACCATACTATCTTCCATAGCTATTTTACAACATTAAAATCTCACAACAGTGCACAGAGGTTTCAAATTCTTCACATCTTCACCAACATTTGTCATTTTCTATTATTCTGATAATAGTCATTCTAACGGGTGTAAGGTGGGCTTGGATTTGGATTTCATCTTTTCATATGGTTGTTGGCCATTTGTATATCATCTTTCAAGAAATGCCATTTGAAGTCCACGCCCATTCCTGAATTAGGTTGTTTGTTGTTGCTTAGTTGTAAAAGTTTTTTATATAGTCTGGATATTAACCCCTTATGAGATATAGAATTTGTAAATTTTCCTTCCATTCTGTAAGTTTTCACTTTCTTGCTCATGTCCTTTGATGCACAGAAGTTTTTAAGTTTGATGTAGCCCCATTTTTTCTATTTTTTGCCTTTGTTGTCTTTGCTTTTGGTGGCAACTCCAAGAATTATTGCCAAATCCAATGTCATGAAGCTTTTCCTCCATGTTTTCTTCTAGGAATTTTATAGATTATGGTTTTATGTTTAGGTCTTTTATTCATTTTGAGTTAATTTCTTTCATATAGGGTAAGGTAAAAGTCTAAGTTCAATCTTGTACATGTGAAAACACCGTTTATTAAAGTGACTGTCCTTTTTAAAATAATATTTAGGCCTATCACTGCCACAAAGCTACATTGCCTGTTAATCCTACTATTAGAATTTTTTTTTAAATTTAACCTACTAATGAAGCATATTACCATATCACATTATTTTTAAGAATGTTGATAAATGTATTTCAGTATAATTTATTTTCCTTGTAATCCTTTAAAATTTATTTTATGAACTGATTGATTTTTATGCATTTATGATATAAAATATTTTATACCTATTTATTAATTTTACATTATTATAAGAAGGAAGCTATTGGTTTCACCAGACTGCACAGGGTTTGTGGACTCAAAAATTATTAAGAATTCAGAGATTATTTCAGTAACTCAGACAATGGATGAAGCCTTGAACTACAGCTATGGCAATAAGAAATATGTAAAATCAAGAAAAGGCAAATTCAGTATGATTTCATGATTAAATAAATGCCACAAACCAAGGAGAAGGTGAAGTCTATGATGCCCACCAGATTTTTAACTTGGGTGACTCATTGGGTGACTGTAGTTTTCTGGGAGTCATCAGTGTAGAAGCTGCATTTAAAACCATGAGAGAAGGGGTGCCTGAGTGGCTCAGTTGGTTAAGGGTTTGATTCTTGATCTCAGCTCAGGTATGATCTCAGGTCATGAGTTCGAGCCCCGCATCGGGCTTCATGCTGGGCATGGAACCTATTTAAAACTGTGGGAATACCTGTCATCACCCATGGAGAGAAGGTAGAGGGAAAAATTCAATCAGGGTGAAACCAATATTCAAAGACCATCCAATTCATTATTTTCAGCTATGGTGTCATGCAGTATATTTAATGTGTCAGCAAATAGAACTAGTATATAAAGAATAAAACTTCAATAAGCAATGGTGGTTAATTTGTAAAGGACCAATTGTTATGACTCTCCTCTGCATTTATAATTTTTGCACCTGCAATTATTTGCATGCAAAACAAATGCAGCTACAGTTGCCTAATTATAGGCACAACCATCCAAAATTGCCCACAAATAATAGGACAAAGAGATGCCATCTGTGAAAGTGCAGCTACTGCCTCAGACCTTTCCTGTTCCACATCCTGTAAGGCTTCCCTTTGGCTTCTGTCTTGGGCTTCATTCTTGCCTGATCTCATTCATGCATTATAGGCTGGTCATTCTAATGAGCTAAGTCAGTAGGTCTTTCCTCTTATGCAACCATTATAATTACCCCCCACCAAATATAAAATGTACCATAGTATGGGCAGACTGAAAATGGAAGCCATTTCTGAAGTACATCATTTGTCTTGTTAGTGTGAACAGATTCAATTTTTTATTCACGTGTAATTTTACAAGGTAGGCAACTTGAATGCTGTAAAGACGAAATCTCATACAAATTTCTGCTCAAAGGTGACAAGAAAATTATGTTACTCTACTTTAAAAAAATTTAGCCATTTATTAAAAACACAGCTGTCAGTTTGGATCAAATATATTCATATTTCCCTATTATATTATTAGGACCATCATGAAATTTAATATTGTCCCTTGGAGTTTGATTTCCTACAAAAGTGTCATAACACAATCAGTACTATTGCAAATAATTATTGAACTGTGTGAAGACTAGTTATGATTTCAGGCGGGAAATATATGATAGTGGTCGAGAAATACAAAACCCAGGTTAACACTTGATAAGGATTCTGTTCTCATACAAATGTCAGTAGTAATAAATGTGGGGACCACATAGCCTGCTTTATGAAAATGAAATAGGTTCCAGGCAGAATAATTTGCTAAGATTTTAATGATATAGCTCAAATATTACTTGCTTATCATTTAATCATATTAAACACTCTGAATCTGATAAATCCTCTGTGATAGAAACAATACACTTAAGGAATGAGAAATTGGGTAGTTTATTAGACTAATGACTAAAACCAGAATGTAACGTATATCTCTTCTATGAAATCTATAATTCTCCATTCTATTTATAGTGTTTGGAATTGTCATAAAGTATTATCATGAAGGTTTCAGGGGCAAATGGAGGCTTAGGGATTTTAAAATGTTCATCAGCTTTTATTTTTTTAATTTAAAATAGTATAGTGAATAGGAAGGTTTATTTTTGTCCCACCACATTTTTTCTCAGTGGTACATAGGTCACAAAGAACTGAAGCAGTAATCAGACACCAGCCTTAAGTTTATGGACAATGCAGCACATGTTTAAACATTTAGACATTGGAAAGTTAGACATTAGAAATATAGTAAGATATTTAGATTTATCAAAAGAAGTCATGTTAAGAAAATTAGAATTTATAAAAGGGAAGTTATCATTCCAAAAGGAGAGTTAATTAGACACAAAAGATTGTTCTGTTATATATAACTGAACATTTCAATGGATGCAATCAAAATTTAAAATATTGTTAATGGCATGATAAACTTAAGCTGTTTGTTTTCACAAGAAGCAAAAGAACATTTTGAGACATTAAAAAAGATAATGTTACTCACATCCTGAGCTACCATTTGTTGATACCAGAGTCAAGTTGGAAGGCCATGGATTCCGAACAATATCTTGCCAGTGAATTGTGTCTGTGTAACAAAGAAATTTGTTCTGGTCTACATACACTCCACCATTAAGGATTTCTGTATTAAAACAAACAAACAAAGATTTCTTGTCAAACTTTTTGTTGATGAAAAGGTAGTCAATAAAAATGATTTATTCTTAAACTATTTTATTTTATTTTATTATGTTTGTGTATCACCATACATTACATCATTAGTTTTTACTGTTGTGTTCCATGATTCATTGTTTGCATATAACACCCAGTGCTCCATTCAATAGATGCCCTCTTTAATACCCATCACCAGGCTAACCCATCCCCCCACCCCCCTCCCCTCTAGAACCCTCAGTTTGTTTCTCAGAGTCCATAGTCTCTCATGGTTATATTCTTAAACTATTTTAATGTTAAATTAGAGTTACATTGTTAATAGCCAAGACATCTTTTAAAATATCACTGAGTCATATAAATTGATTGCAGAAATTGGGAAAGATTGAAAAATATAAAGAAATACAACCACTCATAATATAAATACCCAGAGAGACACTCTTCACATTTTGGTATAGATGTTTTCAATCTCTTTCCTTTTTGTTTTCTTCTGAAATTGGAATAACATTGAATATAATATTTCATAACCTGCTAGTTTTAATATTAAGTGGTGAGTCTTTAATGATAATTAAATGTTATTCTACATTATTTCTAATGAAACTACAATATGCTAGAGTATAAATTAAATAATATTTAACCAGTTCCCTCTTATTGGTCATTTAACTTGTTTATCTCTCTTAAAAAAATTATTAGTCCATGTGACATCGACTAGAGTCAGTAGGAAGCAATTAAAACAAAATGAAAGCTAAAATTAATGTTTCAATTATGAAGAAATGCTCTTTGATCTTTGATCCTCTCAAATGGAATCAATAGAATTGCCAGTTATTCTTTAAGAACAACACAAAGACATAATAAAAACCCGATGGTTCATCGGAACAATGGCAGGACCATGGGATAAAACGCACTAAAGCCAATTTTTACTTGATTCTCTATTTCACACAGGCCTTGATCAGCTAACTTGTTCCCCCTGAACAATAGCTGATAGTATATGTAAATTCTCTTGCAGATTGCTTTAAGTTATCCAGAAAAAAAAAAAAAAAGATATTCCCTCCGAAAGTACTATTTGTTTTTTTTTTTTTGGAAAATACTATTCTTACTACTTGAAGAAATTGGTTAGAAATACACATAGCATCTTCCTCCTCAATATCTACCCCTTCTATCCAATATAAAAACAACTTAAGAGAAATTATATTTCAGTCCATAATACACTGTTACAAGTAACAAAAACAGTTAACAATAATTTATATAGCTAGAGGATGATTTTTCTCACATAAGAAATCTATAGGAGGTAGTGGTGTCCACAGGACCCACATCTGTTTTGTGTGTTGGTTTTATTCGTTACAGGCACAAGAAGGTTGATGTATCTAAAAGTGTCTGTCTGAATTCAAGGCAAGATGAAAACAGAAGAGCAAGCAAGAGACATCCTCCTACTGAGGCTCTGACTTTCTATTTGGGAAGAGATGTTCTCCCCAAGGATTATGTCGGCATTTTATTGGCCAGAACAGTGTCCCATGAGCATTTCTACTACAAGAGAGGCTGGGTGGACTTATTGCTACTTGAAAAAAACTTAAACAAGCAGGACTGTTAGTGAGAAAGAAGAGGAAGATGAATAATGGGAAGGCAACTACTCTATTTCCCATGGTGGCCTTGAGAAAATTATCTCTTTCTTGTGTAGTATCCCTAGCTAAACTTTTAAGAGTCACCTTAAACCAAGGAGGGAGATAAAAGAATGAAAGGAACATATGACACCGTAAGAGGAGTATTTGTGGAAGTAAGATAGGTGGGCACATCTCAATTGCCTTATTGTGTTGTATTTATAAAATGCACCAGATTAATTTTGACATCACAGGGCTTTCCACATTTAAAATCACTCCAGTTCTCATCATCAATCTTTTCACTGACTATTGGTTCCATTTTCTCAGGTGAGGAAAAAAAAAGAAACAAAAATAAATTAGATCATCTTTCTACTTCTAAAACCCAGTTCATTATTTTTCATGACCTAACCATACAATCTTCATCAAAGCAGAGGGAGATATAAGACATAAGAAAGATTGTGAAAATGGATTTCTACATTAATGCTTGGCATTAAAGTTTCTATCTATGAAATGTGACGATCTCATACTAATAGCTTTCTCATGAGACATTAGGTGATGCTCTTCTGCTCTAGAAATAATTCTTCATTAGGTGGCAAGAAAGGAGATTTTGACTGCTATCCAGGAAATGAAGGTTATTTTTCAGTCTACATTTGGAAAAGTTCTACTTTAAAAAAATGTGAGGAGAAAACAATAGCTCAAATATTGTAGAAAGAATGTATTTTTCAGGATTCACATTATAATTCAAATAGTTCATATTGAAGGAACACAGTATCCATCTCTAACTTCCTATCTAAAAATATTTAAATGGAATCAGATTATATTATACTGAATAATAATCTCATCAAATCCCTTCAACAATATTAATCTGCTACCAATGTTGACATTTGTTTCTCAGAAATATTCTGTTCAAAACCTTGATTTATACTTGGGAAAGGATTTAGAAAAGAGGCAGTAATAATTCAAGTATAATCTTACATGTTAAAATTTCAAATTAAGACTACAATCATGATCAGTTTGGATAACACCCTAAATTCAAAACCCAGCATCTGCTAGCAATTCTGGTCAGGAAGATTTATAAACTTCTAGTATTTAATGATGGATTTATAAGGCACATTTAGTCTATTCGTGTATGAGTCTATTTTCCCTGAAAATAGTCTTTTCCTTTATATTTGGCTTAGATTGTATTCTGTTGGTGAATGTTGAAACACTATAATCAGAAAATGAGCATTTTATTGACATTTATAGGAGAGTTTTAACATATACTTTATCTTACATTTTCTTTTGATCAATTTGGTTACCTAAAGATAGGTGAGGAAATGTTAATATTGTACTTATTCATTGGTATAGTTTACATTGAGTTTATAACTTTATACTTTTTTTTTTTTTTTGAGAGAGAGTGCACATGGGATAAGGGGGTGGGAGGGAAGACAGAAAGAGAGGGAGATAAAATCCTAAATGGGCTCCATGCCCAGCACAGAGCTACATGGGGCTCAATCTCAGGATCCTGAGATCATGACCTAAGCAGAAACCAGGAGTCAGATTCTTGGCCTGAGCCACCCAGGTGCTCCTATACAAAATTTTAAACTTTAATTTAATATGCTTTTTTGGTGAAATATTCAGTTAGATTTATTCCTGAACTAAGAAAATTCTAGGGAAATATATTGACCTGTAAGAAAGTTGTTGGAAACACAGATTATTTACTGGACAAAAGGGCTTCCTAATGTTTTTGACTATTATGGCTTGGCTGCCTTTTTAGATTAGAAAGAAAGACAAGGATTAGAAAAAGAGAAATGCTTGGTAAGATATTTATCCAAGAAGGTATCAGGAAAATGTCTGGTCATACTTCAGATCTATGTTTACCAACAAACAAGAACAGCAGAGTTATCATAAATTCTATTAAAGACTTATTGGATCTGTGTTATGCCAAGAGAGTTTCCCTTCCATTAGAATGAAATTAAGTGATTAATAATTAAATTTTTAAACCGTGACAAAAAAGAGGATTTCCAATTCTAAGTAATATAGAAAACAAGCACAAATGTAACTGACATTCACATAAAGATGCACAAAACCTGGAAAAGTGAAATGACTTAAAGAATAAATAAATAACCTCAGGGTCATCCCATCTATTGTATTTCACTTCCACTGTAGGAAATATATCAGAGAAAATTAGGAGAAACACATATAGAATCTTGGTCATTGTAATAATTGGTAGAAAAAAACTGCTATGAATTTTTTATCATATTATATAAAAATACTCCCAGTAAGTTCACAAAACAGAACTCTTTTTAATAAATGTCACAATTAAGTATGGTAAGATATATGAAATATGATCTTCTATGCAAGAAATATTTAATTTTTAAAAAATTCTGCCAAACACTTAAACAGGTTTGTGTATCAAACATTTCCTACTAGATTAATGCATGCAAGTCAAGTAAAAAATATGAATCTTTCTGTATGTAGAGTAAGTAAATTATAATCAACACTACTCTTACATACATTGAATTTAACATATATAGCACACAATTTATAACTGAAATACTAGACTAAACTCTATGAAGGCAAGGAATATTTTTCAGTTCTGTATCTATATCAAACCTGAAGCAATAGCTAATCAACACATATTTGTTAAATCAAACTTAAAACACAAAAGTAACATGAATTTGCCACCAACATTGATCAATTAACTTCTGTTGTAACTTTTAATTTTAAATTCTGACCAAATCAAAGTAAAAATGAAAGTTATTTTTTTCCTTAAACACTCTATAGTTTATCTGAACTGGTTCTATATTTCATTATGTCAGAGGTCATTTCTGTTTTGGTCAAAACTCTATCCCCAGTGTCTAGCATTATGCAAGGCAGAAGCCAGATACACAATAAATATTTGCTCTATGAAATCAAATATAATAGCCTGATTATAGAAAAACATATTTGGGTAGACCAATAAATATCTATCTTGAGTATAGGAAAAAATTTAAAAAATAGTTTTTATAAGCTGAAAGATAAATAGCTTTTATTATATAAAATGCTTATAATTGATAATGTACAAAATTACTGCAAGCAGTATGTTGGATATTTATAAGTCACATTTAGACATTTTCTTCTGTATCCCTAAACCTATTTTGTGCATCAAATTCAGTTATTATTTATCAAGTAAATAATGATGATTTTGAGCTATCCTGGACACATCAAATTTCCTCAAACCTGTGCAAATTACCTAGTATATGTAAGAGCATGTTTCTTATATTGAATTGTAAATCTACCTCATATTGTTCCTTAAATTATTTTCTAGAAAGGTGTAAAGTGCCAATATGACATGTAAGAGGATATAAAGTATTTGTGTCTTAGTCTTCCAATCCGCAAAGATTGTCCATTTGACCATTTC